GACAACTGGTCCTCAGCATGGAGGGAGGGGTGAGGGGCTCTGTGAACCTCCAGTCACCGGTCCTGCCCCTGCAAAGTTCAGGGCTGGATCCTCAGCCCCTCCTCCCACACACTCTGATCTCAGGGGGGATGCCCCTGACTGGCCCTCTCTTCCCTCCCCCATAGGAGAGCAGAAACAGAAACCTGTCTGAAGCCGGATGGCTCCTGAGCCTGGAGCAGACTCACTGTATTCACACAAGGATCTTCTGGAAAAGCCCGAGCAATGCTGAGGGTAGATTTTTATCATCACTCTCAGACTTCCCTCCTCATTCCTCAGCAAAGAGTGGTACAAACCCCTTCCAGCCCTGGCCCTTGCCTGCCTTTTCAGTACTCCCCCTGCCTTGCACTGCCTCATCCCAACATTCTGGAAGCCCTCAATTACCCTTCAGTCCCATATGCCTTTGATCACGCTGAGCTCTCTATTGAAAATGTCCTGCCCCTCCTCTCTGCCCATGAAGTGCTTGAATGAGGTCAGATATCTCCTCCTCCAGGAAGACCTCCCTGACTACTGTCAGAGGAGTTGAGAGCTCCTCCATCTACTCCCAGATCCTGTGTCTGCCTCTATCACTGCTCTCACTACTACTGGAATCCCTTTAGCTTTCCTCACTTCCTTCTCCATGGGGAAGATGAAGCTACAAGCCAAGCTCCCACCAGCAGAAGCAGAAGGAACGCTCTGCCCCTCGCCCCTCACCAGCCCATCAGTCAGTCTTAGCTCCTCCCCATGGGAGGGGGAAGACCAGTCTGATTGGTCCAAGCTGGGGCCACAGTTCATGAGCAGGCAGGCGCTGGAGTTGAAAGGTAGTAGGTGATCACTTTATGATCTCTGTCCATGTGTTATTGGGAATGGAGCCAGCTGGTCATTCTCTGCCTTGATTCCAGCTCCTCAACCAAGGGTCTGGGAGAAGCAGATTCTTAGATTCAAGAGGAAGAAAGTTAGACATTACAGGCCTTGCTTCAGCCTTCTGGTATCAGCTACACCATACTGGCATGGTGTTTCCCATCCTTAATATATTCCCTCAATCAGAAACCTGAAGGGAAGGCAGGATGATGAAATCCTGAACATCAGACCTCCACACTGACTTAGAATCATTTGTGCATGATGCTCTCTATTGATTATGTAGGTCAGAGAACTTATTAGCATATTTCCCAGAGACATCTGAGAGAATGACCCCTGTCCTGGTTCCCAGTCCTAAGTTCAAGAATCCCCTAGAACTGAGCAGTACTCACCTTGAAAGTTTGACTTTCAAGTGGTGACTGAAGAGTTAGCTCATTTCTGCCTGAATGGCCTGTGATCATATTTTTATGTTATAAAGCTCTGAGACTGGTTACTCAACTCAGGTGAGGTGGTCTCAGGCATGAAGCATGACTGCTTTAGTCATGCATGGGTGGGTAGATGGGTAGATCAATGCATGGGTCAGTGGGTGGGAGGATGGTTGAGTGAATGGAGGGATCAGTGGATGAATGGATAGATGGTTCAATGGATGGGTGGATGGATGGATCATTAGAGGGATAAACTGAAAGAAAGCAAGGCCTGAAGGGAGACATTCATGGTCCCAGAAGATCTAATATGATCCTCACTCATTCAGATGTTTTCCCCTACAACTGGGCACTCCTTGGTCTTGGACCTTGAGTCTAGGAATCTGACCCTTTGCTTTTTTAAGAAAATGTTGCTAGTCTCACTGCCATATATCCTGGCTGTGCTGGCATTCTTAGCACTCTTTATATAGGCAAACTCTCTCTAAATGATCCAGTGTCATCTGCCTCACCTCTCTGACAACTTGAACTTACTGCTGACCTCTGTCATACAAAGATAGCACATGGTACCTCTTATGTGCCACCTCAGATTCTCTCTGCCCCACCTGATTCTGGGGCTGTGGCTGGTCCATCTTAGCCACCACCACAGCAAGAAGTTATGCTGGGCTCCAGTCAAGTTCATGCGCATAAATCCAACAGCGCCTCATGCCCACGGAGTAGCTGCTTGCTGCAGAAACTCACTAGGTACTCACACAAGTTGAAATCACAAGTGCAGGGGGCGGGGTTAATGCCCCTCCCAGCTACCCTTTGACTGTGGGGAACAGGTGCCAATGGATGAATTCTCATCCTTTCCTCCCTCTGCAAGGGGGTCACAAGACAGGTGTTCTTACCATCTCTCAGAAGAGTCCTCAGAGACTAAGTCCTCCACTGCACATGATGCTAAAGGGTCACTAACCCAATGTCATGCCTTCTCACCTGGTCCACCCTCTTCTTTTCTCTCATTTCTTCCCTGGATATACTCCCCAACACCCCTGCCAATAAAGCAATAACACATAGACTTCTGCTTTCTGGGGAGTTCAGGCTTAGAATCCATCACTCCATTACTGCTTTACTGATTACTATTTATACAATATAGTTTTGTTTAAATACAAGATATCTGGATCTAATTAGAGGTTCCAGTGTTGAGTGTCTGCCTCCTACACTAGATTGTGTGAGCAACTCCTTTCAGTATTCCCAACACTGAGAAGAATGCTGGAATTCTCTAGCACACCCATTCTTCTTTCACCCTTTTCCATAAAATCAATCATCTGGGAAAGTTCTCATCTTGGATACTTGAATCTTCTGCTGTGTATGGTTTCCAAACCCAGGACCATCTCTATTAGAGGGGATACTCTTCTAGCTTGTTATGCACAATTCAAAAAAGCCAAGGGCAGAATCACTAAAGCCTTCTGTGACCAGCTAAAAAATAGTGCCCCCAAAGTGGGTGCCCCCAACCCCATGCCTGTTACTGTGACTGTCCTCATTTGCCAAGGCCTTTGCAGGTGTGATGAAGTTAAGGCTCTTGAGATGAGATCAACCCACTAAATGCCATCACATGTCTCCTTTATAAGAGGGAGGCAGAAGCCCAAGTTATATGCACACAGGGGAAGGCAAAGTGGTCACATCAAAAGAGATTAGAAGATATTGGTCTTAAACATGGGAATGATGTGACCATGAGTCAAAGAATGCCAGCGGCCACCATAAGCTGAAATGGGCATGGATCAGATTCTCCCCGAGACCCCTGGAGGGAGCACAGTCCTGCTGCCACCTTGTTTTTAGCTCAGCAATACTGATTTGGGACATCTGGTCTCCAGAACTGGGAGAGAATAAATTTCTGTTGATTTAAGTGACTCAGTTTGTATAATTTGTTACAGACACAGGAATCTAGTGCAACTTCATCTTTTAAAGGGCCCTCAGAGACACCAACTCAGCCCTTTATGAATACATTGTCTTTCATGCTTTCCCATATACCTATAGTTAACTCAGCATTTGTTTTCTTTCCATTGTTTCTAATGATGTTTGGAAGTCTGGTATTTAACCCCAAAGGTGCAAAAACAGTCATTATAAACTAGATGTTACTGTGAAGTTACCATAAACTAGGCCTTACTTTCTAGGGGAGAATGTTGAGACCTAAGGGCCCCTCATCATGATGTCCCTGCCCCAACTTGCTTTAAGCCTGTTTCACCCAACTGGTCAGTGTTTCTCAAAATGGGGTCCAAGGGTCACCTGAGTTGAATAACCTGAGGCACTCATTAAAAATATAAAGTCCAGTACTCATCCCAAAGCTCACCTCTAGGACTAAGATGCAGAAATCTGCACTTTTAACAAACCTCCCTGGTTTCTTAGCACACTGACTTTGAGAAACTCTACTACAGAAGAAGGGCTTCCCAGGTGGTGCCAGTGATAAAGAACCTGCCAGCCAATGCAGGAGACCTAAGAGATACAGGCTGATCCCTGGGTCGGGAAGATCCCTTGGAGGATTGTATGGCAACCCACTCCAGTAATCTTGCCTGGAGAATCCCATGAACAGAGGAGCTTGTGGGCTATAGTCCATGGGGTCGCAAAGACTTGGACACAACTGAAGTGACTTAGCATGCACCTACACACTACAGAAGAAAGAAGTCAGAATGACCCAACAGTACTTCCCTTCGTCGCTCAGTGGTAACACCACCAATTCGGGGCCAGGACTGATTTCATGCAGGAACAGCCGCTGCCGTGGCCCCTAGACTGGATGCCTGTGATGAATGCCACACTAGAAAAAGTCAGTTGTCAAAGTGTTAGTCACTCAGTCGTGTCTGACTCTTTGCAACCTCATGGACTGTAGCCCACCAAGTTCCTCTGGCCATAGAATTCTCCAGGCAGGAATACTGGAATGGGTAGCCATTTCCTTCTCCAGGGGATTTTCCCAATCCAGGGATCAAACCCAGGTCTCCTGCACTGCAGGCAGATTCTTTACCATCTGAGCCACCAGGAATGCCACACTAAGGAACCAAAATAGTCCTGTCCCCTCATGTGTTCATACTTCAAAACAGCTGCAGAGGTATCTGGAGTGTGGGGCACCACACATGCTTTTGAGAACGTGAGTCACCATTAAGTAATTCATGGTAATTTAACTTTTTAATTAAAAAGACCTTCACTAAACAATAATAGCTTACAAATGCATGTCCCCTTTGATCTTGCAATTCCACTTTTGGGAGTTTATCCTACAGATATTCATTATGCTTATACATATGAACACGATTATTCCCTGCAGAACTGACTGTAATAGCAAAAGACTGGAAACAATCCAAATGCCATCACTGTAGAACTGATGAAATAAATTATAGCACATTTATACAATGAAAAATAATGAGGAAACTGTGTATGTATTGATATGGAAATGTCTCCAAGATAGATTGTTAAGGGGAAAGGCAAGGTGCAGAGCATATGTATACTATGCTACCTTTTGTGGGTGAAAAGGGAGCAATAAAACTCCACACTCCTATTTGCTTGTCTATTCATAACGAAATGCAGGTAGTGTACCTGAGAACAGTAGTTACCTCTGATGCAGGAGATGGGAACTGAGCAGATGAGAAACAAGAATGGGAGGGAGACTTTTCATGGTATATATGATTTCACTTTGGGGTTTGGAACCATGTAAACATATTATTTATTCAAGGAATAAATAATAAAGCTTAAAATAATCATTTATTGTGGCCCTTAGAACAAGCAATCTGGCCTGGTTCTCCACACCTCCAAGTCTTGGTGTCCATGTGGCACTCTTCAGACTGGGCGCATGTTGCAGGGGCCACCGCCACTGCAGTGGGTACCTGGTTAGACGTGGTGCTCCAGACCAGAATGCTCATTTCCACTGTCCAAAACGGCAGGGGGAGGACAGGTCTTTGAGTTTCTTACAGAGGAGAACCAGCTCCACAGAGGTTCTGGAATTTGGGTCCACTGCACCCTGGACAGCTCCAGAAGGGCAGGGTTCTGGGCTGCCTAGTACTTGAGGATTCGGTACCTAGTACTGAGGCATTAGCTCTTCCCGGCTCACGAGGGACGAGTGGTGGTAGCGATCCCGGGTGGCGAAGTCTGCGTTCTCCTGGGTGAGCTGAGTCATCTCCATGTCAACCCTAGTCAGGGACGGTGCCAAAATTATCTGCTCTTGGGGGGATCGCAAGCTCCTTTGGTGAGAGAAACATGGAGGACAGTCAGAAGGAAAGACCATAGTACTAACCATTGGCAGTCAGTCTTCTCTGGAATGGAGAAATGATTTGCAAAAACATCATTGTGCCTACTACTTAATATGTATTAAACAACAGAACTGTTGAAAGCTCTATGTACAACACTTCATGAATCCAAAGCACTAGAAATAAGTATCAAATAAAGAGTGATATTTACCTTCCTTAGCAGAAATGTATAAAACTATAAAAAGAATTTTCCAAATGCTATGGTGTTGGGGCTGTATAGCTCTACTTGGCCTTTTTGTCAAATGAAATAATGGAATGGAGAGGCTGGAAAGTGGAAGCAAATAAAAAGAAAAACCTTCTCTTTAGTTCACCGGAAGGAAAGATGAATGAGGAACAGCCCAGGTTTACAGAGTAAGCAGTTATGCAGCAAAGCATAAAAAGCTTTGGCACCAAGCTGGCCTGCAGGCAAAAAGTGAGCTCCAGAGTCACAGAAAGGTCCACATAGAGTTGGAGTTGGAAGAAACTGGTAGAGAAAAATATTAGGGATACGTGAGGAAAGTGCTGGCAGCAGAAAGACGAGCCTGGCAGCCAGGATATCCAAAGAACACAGTCACAGCTTTGTCACCAGTTAGCCTGGTGGCCTCAGGCAAACCTCTTCACCTCCTTCCACTTCTATTTCCTCACCTTCTCAACCCCCTTCTAGTTGCTGCAATGTGTTAGGTCCTGAAATCACCTTAGGCATAGATTTCCTCTTAAATCTTTACTTTGTGGGTAGTTACGCTGAATTGTTTAAATAAGGAATATATTCGATAGTTGTTAAAAAATGGTAGAAATCTTGTTATAAATCTGTGGAACTTAAGCAGAAAGCTTCACTGACTAGAAAAACATGCTGTTATAGGAGTTCAGATCACACGACTAAGGCTTTGCAGCCACTTGATGAAAACATATCTAAATTAGCGGGGTTGGGCTTTCTGAGAGATGAACTAACTTCTACAGAAGTTGAATGTGCAAGAAGTAAGGTTAGGAAGTGACGGAAATGCCGTACCAGTCAACATGTGTTTAAGGTAAAACCATAATATTTTTCTGAGTTCAGGGAAATAATACACTTCACTTTCTATGGCCTAAGAGTTCTCACCTGGGCAGTTGCTAAGACTTCAGGAAAGAAAGGTTCTCTAAGGTCGGGCTTAATTTTACATAATTCTGGGAACTGAAGGTGTAACAGAGGAAGTAATATACCCAAACTCCTTCGCCCAAAACACCCTACAGTTATTCTTCTTTGGTTTTGAAGAGCATCTGGGGTGACAGTTGTGAAAAAAATTCAAAATTACAGAAAAGAAAACACAGCAATCAATTTCTACTTTTAAGTGGTCACAATTTCTAGGTCCTTTCCCCTCCTGAACAGTCACCACAAGATATCGCTCAGTAGCCATGATGAGGCCAGTAAGCTTGATGCTGACTCTTAGCTGAGGCCTCTACAAGCCCACGGAGACATGAATAGTGTAAACTAGATTCTCTTCCAACCAAAGCACTGTCATTTTCTAAGAATAACCTCCTCCTAACACATTCTTCTTTCTACATAGCACAACAGTGACCTCTGAGGTGAAATCCCAGAAATTCAGAGATCAAAACGGAATGCTGACCTCCCATAGTCATCTGTAGGCTTTCAAACCTACAATACTTAAAAATATTCATGTAAATTGGATAAGGCCAAATACACTCAGCCACACACCAGTTGCAGCTCCAGCATCGGAAGGCAGCTTCCACACAGAATCTATTTCCACTTAACCTCTACTTGCCCTCAGGACTAGGATCAGTACCTGAAAGAGAGGCAGAGAGTGGCCCCCACCCCTCCTACAGCTTCACATAAGACATTCAGTTCAGCTTCCAAGCAGATGGCAGGGAATTGCCCCTCTCCACCCAACTCTCCCTGCCAGCCCCCTCCCTGTTGGTTTCCATGACCCCTGCTCCTGTCATCATCATTTCTCTAGCACCCAGGGTTTAGCATCCAGGTCATTCTTAGGCTGACTTGAACAGACAGGCAGTGCTTATATTGTCTTAAAACAGATTCCTGGGCACTTCCCTGGTAGTCCAGTGGTTGAGAATCCGCCTGCTGATGCAGGGAACACAGGCTTGATTTCCAGTCCACGGAGGTTCCACATGCTGTGGGGCAGCTAAGCCTGCGCACCACAACTACTAAGCCTGTACTATAGAGCCCAGGAGCCATACCTACTGAGTGCCCATGCTGCAACTACTGAAGCTGGTACATCTGGAGCCCATGCTCAGCAACAAGAGAAGCTGCCACAATGAGAAGCCTGCGCACCGCAGCTAGAGAGCAACCTCTGCTTGCCAGAAGTAGAGAAAGTCCTCTGCAGCAACAAAGACCCAGTACTGCCAAAAACAACATAAATAAATAAAAATTCCCAGAGTCTTGAGGCCTCCAAAGGTGAGCAAGCGTTGGCACTGGAAGCATAGAAGAGGAGGAAAGAAATTGGGGTACTCATGAAGCCTTACCTTCCCTGAAAGGCTTTCTGCTGTTTCTCAGGAAAGTTTGTTCCTCCCTCTCCTTGGGTATTTGAACACTGAAGTCCCACAGAAATCCTGCAGGGTCACTACTCTGTTTCTGTACTTGGTCTCTGCACTTTCACCAACACAGTTGTGTCAACTACTTCTGACTTGAGATGGAAGAATGAAGTTCTCAGCCTTGAGTTTGTGTGTGAGTCAGTACTGATGCTAATGTGTCTTAGATTGTGAACTCACTAAAAGTAACTCTCTCTCGACTTAGATCTCTCAGCAACCAGATTCTAAAGAAAGCCTCTGTTCTCAATTCCTGAGGATAAGAAGAAAAGAGGGGGCCAAAGGAAGCTTCTGATGAGCTGAGGCAGAAGGGCTGGGTGGTGGAGGGCAGTGAGGAGCAGTCTGAGTTTCTTGAGGTTCTCAAATGTCAGCCATTCACACCACAATTCACCCAAGCCCATGAAGCACCTTTAGCACCACCCAGGCCATGCATCTGCCCTCATCCTGGCCCCAGGCTGGCACAGACCTGTAGGAGGGGATCAGAAGGGATCTCATCCATCTTAAAAGGCTGAAGTTGGAGGCTAAACCTGCAAGGAAGGCATAAACATAAAACTTTATGAAGACTCTATGTAAACATCTACAATCCCAGGTTTTAATGGGGTAAATATATCCCCTGATACACACAAAGAAGAGCACAATTCTCCCCTCTTTTTAGGTCTAATCAAACTACATTCATTGTAATACTCTCTGATAGTAACCAGCTAAGGATTTCATACTTATAAGTAGTTTCCAAAAGTTTATTTCTAAACTCCAAAATCCAAGAAAGAAAATTAATGTGTTAGATAGAAAGAAGCAGATGACTTGCTAATTTCAGTCTTAGGAATTATTAATTTCTTAAAATTTCGATAATTTTATTTTTAGATTCAAACTGATATGTGTTAAATATATGCTGTAAAATCCGCCACTAGACCATATCCTCCATGAGGACAAGAAGCACATCTTTTCAACCCAGTAAGACATAGTACAACAGTCACAGCATCTGGCCCTTAGGAAGTTTTCTACAGGTGTTACGTGACTCAGATAGCCCCACATGTAAAAATGTTAGAGCTGAAGTTCAAGATGAGACTGTTGTTAATACTGACCAAATAGCCTGCCATCAGATACACTGTTTAGAATAGGGTTTATCCATTTTTTTAAAGTTTTTTTTTTAATCCATTTCTCCTTTTGTGTGATCACACAAACTGAATTATATATAACTTTAGGAAACCAAATGAAATGTAATTTTATAAAATACTTTTCCAAATTACACATTTACACATATTCACTCCACCAGATATATTATTCAACTATAAAAAAGAACAAGATAATGCTATTTGCAGCAACATGGATAGACCTAGAGAGTATCATACTGAATGAAGTAAGTCAGACAGAGAAGAAGTATCCTATGACATCCCTTAAGTGTGGAATCTAAAAAGAAATGATACAAATGAACTTACTTACAAAACAGAAAAGGACTCACTGACTTTGAGAATGAGCTTATGGTTACTGGTGGGAAGGATGGGAAGAAGGGATAGTTAGGGAGTTTGGGATGGGCACGTACATACTACTATATTTAAAACAAATCCCAACAAGGACCTACTGTATAGCATAGGGAACTCTGTTCTGTGGCAGCCTGGAAAGGAGGGGTTTGCAGCGGGGGAATGGATACATGTATATGTATGGCTGAGTACCTCCCCTGTTTACCTGAAACTATCACAACATTGTTAAATGGCTATACCCCAACACAAAACAAAAAGCTTTTTTTTTTTTAAAAAAAGAAGTCTAAGGCAAAGCTTATAAATGCTAAAAAAAATATGTCTCTAACAGTAAAGTGAAAATATTACATGTGTAAATGAGATAAATGACAGAGGATGAGATGGTTGGATGGCATCACCGACTCAATGGACATGAGTTTGGATAAACTCCGGGAGTTGGTGATGGACAGGGAGACCTGGCGTGCTGCGGTCCATGGGGTCGCAAAGAGTAGGACACGACTGAGTGACTGAATTGAACTGAAATGAGAGAATGTAAAATTCTTAGCACAATAACTGGTAGTATTTTTAAAATCTCACAAAATGAATTATATATAACTTTAGGAAACCAAATGAAATGTAATTTTATAAAATGCTTTTCCAAATTACACATATTCACTCCACCAGACATATGTGTGTGTGTATATATATATATATTTCATATATATATGCTTGAAAGTTGATTAGATCATGTTCAATATATGATCAGGAAGTAAGCATTATTTTAAGAGGGTTACGTTAGAATTTTGGCTAACATCAACAGTGTGTAGCTGATAAGACATATTTACTGAATCTCATTTAGAGTTCTAATGGTTAGGGGGAGGACAAATTTTAAATTTGCATTAATAATCTGCAATTGCAAAGAGAAAGTCCCTAATATATTTTGACATTGTCAGAAGGAAGAAAATAAACATTATATTAATTGGTCTTACTTATTTATGACCACTTTGATTCTAAATTATCTATATTTTAGATGTAAATTTGCCTTAAATTTGATTTCATACTTTCCTGTTAACAAATTTCTGAGAAATATTTAAATTTCTTAAGATTAAACTAACTTCCAAGAAATTCAGAAGCAATCACTGATGTAATCACTGTTAATTAAAATATATCTATCCATTAAATTGGGTTTCCTGGGTGGCGCTAGTGGTAAAGAACCCGCCTGCCACTGAAGGAGATTTAAAGGGCCACAGTTCAATCCCTGAGTTAGGAAGACCCCCCGGCGAAGGAAATGTCAACCCACTACAGTATTCTTGCCTGGAGAATCCCATGGACAGGGAAGCATGGTGGGCTACAGTCTATGGGGTTACAAACAGTCAGATATGACTGAAGCAACTTAGCATGCAATGCATGCATCCGTTAAATTAGCTGATATAAGGACACTTAGCATGACTTTTTCTAAAACATTATTTTTAATGTACACATGATTCAAGTGTTTGAAGTGCATTTATTTCAAAAATATATATCAAACAACTCTAATTTGAAAGAATTTCTTTTTCAGTTTGCCTGGATTGTTACAGTCCATCTGACTTAGTTAGGACTTAAAACTACATTATTTATTTTAAAAATTGAGACACTAGAATTTTGATGAAAAGAGCTCTAGAATGCATCTTTCAAACAGCTTTATTATTTAGGAATAAATAACACACAATAAAGTGTTGAGAATATTTTCTTCCTTTCTTTATTCTTCTTGCTCTGGCACTTGGGGGTCTTGACTCCTAGAGAGAACAAACAACTCCCCTATGAGCACACTTGATATATGGCGGTGGTTTAGTTGCTAAGTCATACCTGACTCTTGCAATTCCATTGACTGTAGCCTGCCCAGCCTCCTCTGTCCATGGGATTTCCCAGGCAAGGGAACTAGAGTGGGTTGCCATTTCCTTCTTTAGGGGATCTTCCCCACCCAGGGATTGAACCCACATCTCCTGCATTGGCAGGAGGTTTCTTTACCACTGAGCCACCATTACTTTGCCAACAAAGGTCCATCTAGTCAAGGCTATGGTTTTTCCAGTAGTCATGTATGGATGTGAGAGTTGAACTGTAAAGAAAGCTGAGTGCTGAAGAATTGATGCTTTTGAACTGTGGTGTTGGAGAAGACTCTTGAGAGTCCCTTGGACTTCAAGGAGATCCAACCAGTCCATCCTAAAGGAGAT